CCTTCCCCCAGCTGCTGCGCTTCATCATCCTGCTGGGCAACCTCATCCCCATCAGCCTGTACGTCACCCTGGAGGTAGTCAAGGTCTTCCAGTGCGCGCTGCTGCTCAACGCCGACCGCCGCATGTACCACCGGGACAGCGACACGCCCTTTGTGTGCCGCACCACGCGGCTAAACGAGGAGCTGGGGCAGGTGGGCAGCGCAATGTATGTGTGTGTGTGTGTGTGTGTGTGTGTGTGTGAGAGAGAGAGCGAGAGTAAGTGTGTGTGCGTGTGCGTGTGAGTGTGTGTGTGTGTGTGTGTGTGCACGCTTCCTTGCTGCCTTTCCGGCCTGTCTGCCCGCAAGGGCGCAGGGGGTTGAGAGTGAGCGGGACGTCCAGAGGAGAGGGAGGGCTCGCGAGGAGCGAGGGCAGGGGGTGGGCGCGTGGGGGGGCCGCAGGGGACGCGCGCTGCTGTCGCAGGCGCATCGGCAAGGCCGCCGCGTTCGCCGGCGCGGGGGCGTTTCAACTCTCGGAGCGGTCGTGATTCGCCCTGCAATGTATTACAGCGGGGCGTTCACCTGCTACCCTTGGATCAAGGAGCGCACACCGCCCCACCTCCTCCGCCCCTGCGCCCATCCCCCGTGTCCCACCGCCACAAGCCCTTGTATCGCAACCGCGCCCCCCGTCGCGCCCTGTCGAGCGCCGCAGGTGCAGTATGTGCTGTCCGACAAGACCGGCACGCTGACTCAGAACGTGATGGGCTTTGTGTGGTGCAGCGTGGGGGGCCACCTCTATGGCAAGACCACTAGCCCAACAAACAGGCGCGCCGGGCGCTGCCGCACGCTGCTCCTGCTCGATGCTGCTGCTGCTGCTGCTGCTGCTGCTGCTGCTGCTGCTGCTGCTGCTGCTGCTGCTGCTGCTGCTGCTGCTGCTGCTGCTGCTGCTGCTGCTGCTGCTGCTGCGGCGTCGGCGGCGGCGACAGCAGCTGCTTGCAGCTTGCTGTGGCAATCGCGGGATGCATCAATCCGCTGGCATCCTGTGCAGCGACCGTCAACAAAGGCGCCCGGCAAACCCCAAACACCCATGGCCCCGAGCCCGGCCAGCCTGCCGGCCCTGGCACCCTCCCTCCCCCTCATGCCCCTCCCTCTCGCACCTTCCGCCGCCCCACTGCCTTTCGTACCCAACAGGCGCCCGTCCGTGCCGCCCGACACGCCGCACACCATCGCCATCGACAACGACATGATAGAAGCGCTCGGGCTGAGGGAGGGCGACAGGGAGGCCGACCCCCAGGTGGGGCCTGGCGCGGCGCGCTGCCGAGGCGCCATGGCCTGCAGCTTGCCAGACGCTCCGAGGGCATGCTGGTGTTTGCCGCACGGGGGCAGGGCAAGGCATGTTGCAAGCCGCAGGTGGCGAGGCGCTCCGGCTTTGGAATGGCGCCGAGCACGCATGTTGTATTGCCTCAATACGCGCATAAAATTGTATGACCCGGCGCATGTGCGCGCGCACTTACACACACACACACACACGCACACACACACACGCACACACACACACACACACATACACACGCGCATGCGTCCATACACGCTCACACGTATACACAAAGAGCCACAACCCATGCATGCGCATCCGTATGCACGCGTGCGGCGCGCACACACACAAACATTCAAATAAACAGCAATCACACACCCGTTCACAAGCCATGCGCACGCCCATACACACTCACCACAAACCCCAAACCAACCCAATCAACCAACCAGCCAGCCAGCCAACCGACCAGCCAACCAATCGACCGACCGGCCCACTCAACACGCAACCAAGCACACATGACCCACCAGCTGACCAACCAACCGACCAACCAAAAAGCTGACCAACCGAACCAACCGACCGTCCAACCGCCAGGTCGACGCGTTCCTGCTGAACCTGGCGGTGTGCAACACGGTAGTGCCCAGCGTGGACGCCGCGACCGGGGAGATACAGTACCAGGTGCGGCGCCGCCGAGGGGCTCAGCCCGACCGGCGCAGTTTGGAAGATGCATGCAGTGCTGCAGCATGGGTTGCGTGGCTCGTGCGTTTGGGCACATGCGATCGGCAATGCGCGGCCCGCCCGCCCCCGCCCTGCAAGAAGCCCCCCCCGGCTCCGCCACCACGCGCGCGGTCCACGGCGCGGCGCGACGCACCTGTGACC